AGGGAGGAGGGAGGAGGGAAGAGGGAGGAGGGAAGAGGGAGAGAAGAGAAGGCACAATGGCTCATGCCTGTAATCCCAGCACTTTGGGAAGCTAAAGCGGGAGGATCCCTTGAGCTTAAGAGTTCAAGGGCAGCCTGGGCAACATAGCAAGACCTCATTCTCTACTAAAAATCAAAAATTAGCCAAGTATCTGTAGTCCCAGCTACTCAGGAGGCTGAGGCAAGAGGATCACTCGGGCCAGGGAGATCAAGGCTGCAGTGAGCTATAATTGCACCACTGCACTCCAGCCTCTGTGACAGAGTAAGACCAGAGAAAAAGAAAGAAAGGAAAGAAAAGAAAGGAAAGAAAAGAAAGGAAAGAAGAAAGAAAGGAAAGGAAAGGAAAGAAAGGAAAGGAAAGAAAGGAAAGGAAAGAAAGAAAGGAAAGAAAGAAAAGAAAGAAAGAAAGAATGAATGAAAGAAAGAAAGAAAAGTGGTACCTATTCATCACAGAAAATTTTCAAATTGTAGATCAAGAAGAGCTATTTTGGTTGTTATACAAATATACTAATAGATAGGATATTAAGATATTTAGGGGCTTTTCAAGTATATTGACTACTTTTAATCACAGTAAAAATGTATCATTGATTATATTTTTCCCCTACACGTTAGGATTGCACAGGGCTCAAATGCTCATGGATGGCTTCTCAGCCAAACCCTAGCACATTGTGGAATTGATTTCTTCTTGAGTACCAACTTGGAACAATTAATTAAAATGGTCAAGTGCTGTGCTACAAGAATTATGAGGCAATCTCTGAACCCAAATCAGGACATTGTGATTGACTGGCAGTGTCCATCAGCAGCATGGGGTTCGGTGGTACAGTGTTGGCTAGAAGACATTTTTTTAAACCAACCTTGCAAACTGCAAGGGACACTTCATTAATAAAAATCTCTGTGTAAAGTTTCTTGAAAAATCACCCATTCTTCTGACATATCCAAATATTATGTTGCATTTTATATTTAGCGACTATTATATATGGTTTTTTTGGTCCAATAAATTGTACACATAAAGACCAAAAAGCTTCAGACTTTTATAGGAATTAGTTCTCCATGCTCAGTCTAGAACACAATACTTCTTACTTCACTAAGAGAATGATAAACTAACAAGCATTATTTAATGCTGTGTATCAGATTTTATATTAGGCAACCATTTAATCACCAATAAAGTCATTCAGTCTATAAATATGAACACTGCTGTATGCCAAGGTTAAATGACAATGTGAGGTATCTGTACTGTGAAAACTCAGTCTATTGAGAGGATACTGATAACTATGAAACAATTATAATAGATAAGTACTCTTCTAGGGGCAGATAAAATGCTATGAGGAACCCCTAACATATGCCTATAAACTGGACTTGGGGATCAGAAAGTCTTCCTGGAAGGGAAGGTATCTCAAGTGATACCCAAAGATCAAGAGGAAAGGGAGAACAATGAGGCAAGATGAGAAGCATCCTAATAAAGAACACTTAAATACCAGAGTCCCAAGTAATCCCAGCACTTTAGGAGGTCAAGATGGGCAGATCACTTGAGGCCAGGAGCTCGAGACCAGCCTGGCCAACGTGGTGAGACACTGTCTCTACTGAAAATGCAAAAATGACCTGGGCATGGTGGCACACGTCTGTAGTCCAGCTACTCTGGAGGCTGAGGCACGAGAATCGCTTGAACCCGGGAGGCAAGCTTGCAGTGAGCCAAGATCCTGCTACTGCACTCCAGCCTGGGCAACAAAATGAGACTCTGTCTCAAAGGAGGGAAAAAAAAAAAAAAAGTCTGAAAGAAGAGCTGAGGTTAGGCTGAAAAGATATGCAGGAACCCAAGTCATTAAGAACAGAAACCATATTCCAGAATTTGAACATTTTCCTGATTGAAACATTTGAAACTGGAGAGTAAAGATTATTTTAGGATTAGGAACAAGGCCGGAAACAGTTATTGTTGTTAGTAGACTGTTGCAATAATCAGGTAACTAATGACAATCGTCTGCACAAGGGTAGAAAGTAGGGAGGCAGAGAAAATGAAATGTTACCAGAAATTCTAACTTGATGGTTAAGGATTAAACTAAAGTACATTCACATGTATGCCAGCATCTAAAGCCTAATACATATACCCATTGCTGGTAGTCTTGTTTTTGCCCCGTTTTCTGGAGACCAGAACTCACCCACACACGTATGGAGGCTGGCAAACATCACAACCACCTCCAGGAGATGCTTTGCTGAGGGGTCAATAAACTAGTATTGTAGTTGCCTTTAGAGAAATCTGGGAAGATTCACTACAACTGCCACACTATAACAGAAAGCTCTTCAAGAGAGGACAAACTCACTTTTCAGCACAAAGAAACTTGACCTTATAAGCCACTAAGGGTAGGTGAGTTTTTCCCCCTGAAAAATGCAGCTATGTGCCTTAATGAACCATCATTTGTAGAAAAAAAAAAGAAAAACGAGCTTCACCCAAAGTAATAAGGCTAGCATCAAGCCCCCTTTCGTCAGCACTGGCATGACTGCTGGCATGTCCTACCTGAGTTGGGACTCAAGGTCACAGCTTTTTGTATCCACTCAGAGCCACTGGCCCAAATCACAAGTCTACTCCCAAGAGAACAGAGCTGTGACTTCTCCAATGCTACCAGCTTCCTGGATCCAGCACCACCTAACAGTGGAAACTCAGCAAGAAAACCCAGATGCAGAAAGAAGATACAAGTGGCTGGAGGAGAGAAAAACCTTAAAATGGAGATGAGAGAGGTGAAGATAGGGATGAAGTTTTGAAGTAGGAGAAAACAGAAAGAACAAGTCTCCTGCTGAGAGCACAGGAGGATAGAGTAAAACAGATTGAGAAGACAGCTACAATATGGCTTAAGTGGAGATTAATAGGAACTCCGAACAACAGCAAGGGCCCAGCTGAGAACACACAGCATGAGTAGGAATGGATCCGGTCAACAAGGTTTCAGGAATTTTCTAACAACTAGAGACACAGAATTTAGAAGAGTCAGACTATTTTGGGTGGGTAAAGTGAAGCTGGATTGTAGAATCTCCCTCCCAAATTTTAAAATCTATAAAATCTAGCAAAGATAAAATTCACCAGCAGCAGCCTAAGGGACATTTCTTCATACCATAAACATCGAAAAGTAGCAGCCAAAAGAATTCTCACTGCTATCAAATTGTAGAGACCTGGACTGTAGAGTCATCAACTTTCCCTCTATCAAGTGGTTCAGGGTGAGGGGAGTAGGAATGAATGGTGGCTAGGCGACGTGGCTCACACCTGTAATCCCAACACTTTGGGAGGCCAAGACAGGAGGATTACTTGAGCTCAGGAGTTTGAGATCAGCCTGGGCAACAGAGAGAGACCCCTTCTTTGCAAAAAAATAAAAAACTTTTAAAAGTTTGTTTCTTGCAACAAACTGAACTAAGAAGTATTAAAAACATAGGACATTTATTTAAACTATTACTTTTCATAATTCATCAAGTTTTATTACAGGTCAATATCTTCATTCCACTACTTTACTGGGTACATTCACGAATATTACATAAAACTTCATTTAAAATTAAATAAGAATTAAAAGTACAGCTAAGAACAGAGTCATGATCTGTATGAGAGGCTTTACCATTGTGCACCCTAGTCCCTAATATGGTCATTTTTTGTTTCGTGGGCCTCTCAACCTTAAACTCATTTTTATTTTAGAGAGAATAAAAGTGCTCCTTTGAGCTCTCGCCCACCACGTGCCCAGTCGCTGCATCATCGGCGTGTGTTGACCCAGTGGTACCTGTCCACCCGGTGCACAGCAGGCCTGTAACACTTAGGGTGCTTCTGCGAGCCATGGTAAGTGTTTCCCAGGAGTCCAACATGGCTGTCTACCACATTCTTTTTGTGGGGGATTTGGAACCAAGATTGAAAGGGCTGTTTCAAGTTTTCAACCTGAAAAAAAAAAAAAGTATAAACATCTAACAAACTAGCTGTAAGGACTAAATATTAACCCATAATTCAAAAGTCAGGCCCCTCAAAAGCACAGGGAGCAAAAGTGAAGAGAATTGAAAGTACATAACCATCTTTGAAAAATTCTCTAGCACTTGGTGGGGACATAAGTCACTTTATACTGTACCTTTTTAAAAAGTTAATTAATTTAACTAAAAACCTCTTAATACACTTATCCAAGTTTGTGTTTATTCTTGAGTTGTTGACTTCCATCCCTACCTCACCCCTGCCAGCCAATCCAAAACTGCATGTTCGTGATCTCTGGGGCCACGGCCTAGAAATCTTCATTTTTAACACCTAAGATGACTGATACACTTTTTTATAGATCACACTTTGAAAATACATTGCTGTAAAAGAATATAACTGATTACAGATCTGATCCCCAAATGGAAGAAGACCTTTCTAAGCATAAAAATAGAATTAAGGGCAAATACCATAAATCCTCATTCAACATTTCTTGGAAACTAATTTTAAGTGAAATGACATAGAGCAGGTCTTTGAATAACAGTTTGGTTATAACACTGAGAAAAAAAATGGCTTTGTCATACATCGTTTTACTTAAAGTCACTGTTTCCAAGAAACTATAATGACACAAATAGTTTAAAAAACCAGGGACAAAACATTTGCCAGAAATAAGACAAGGAGTTAAAATAGTTCTGGCATATAAAGAACCTATAATAATACATTAGAATTTCAAATAATGAAGGAGTGAAGAAGGGAAAATTTGTAAGACAGTAGGTGCTAAAACATTTGGGCACATGGAAATTTAATTGTTTAATTTCACTAATACCATATTACATATGCATATCATGTTAATCTAATTATCTGTTTTTTAAATAAGAATAGCCAATTCTAGAGAAAGGCACTTTACGTACAGCTGGTGAGACTACAAATAAATACAATTTTCTATATGGTGATTCGGCTATATATTAAAGACCAGTAAAATACTCACACTCAGTGACCCAGTAGTTCTGTGCTCGAGAATCAAATCTCAAGAAATAACCTAAAATTCAGGCATCACTCTACAAGTTATCAGCTTTTTAAAAAATGTTACAACCATGTGGAAATAATCTAGAATGACTGCCAGTGATAAGTTACAAGGGAGACAAATGAATATTAAAATGTTAATTGCCTTAACATGTAATACATAGGTGATTAAGAGAATATACAGACAAGTATATATATATTAACAAATTCTCTGTAGATCAGTGTTTTTCAAATTGTGGGTCATGAAATCAATTTAGATGCTTGAAATCAAATGAATTTAATTGGAAGTGTTGGGAGCATTGCTCCTAGTAAAGATAAGCACTGTTTCATGAAACTTTTTAAATATAAATATGTATATCTTTCAAGGGGTTGTGGTTTAAAAAGAAGAAAAAAGTTGAGGAAAACTGCGCTAGTGGCAGAATTTATAGCCATTTGAGCTTTCCTAAGTCCAAATTTTCTATAAATGCCATGGTATTCTTAATTAACAAAAGAAAGAAAGAAGGAAAGACAGAAGGAAGGAAGGGAAGGAAGGGCAAGCCAGCCCACCAGTCTAATCTTTGATTATGTAGGAATTTAAGTAAAAGGAAACCTGTGTGTCTTCAAATACTGTATGAAGAAACAGGACAATAAAAGATTAGGGTAGATCCTAAAAGCTCAGTCAAGTGTATGGAATACTCTGTGCAGTGAAGGAGATAGAAAAAGTTTTGCCAAAATACTAAGATTGTGGCTTAAAAATCTTTATGGTTTTGTTCTTTCTATGTTTTGTTTGCTTCTTTGTTTTTATAACAAGTACATTCTTTTTAGAATTAGAGAGTAAAAAGTATAAAAAGAACTGGAACACACTTGACCTGATAAATACTCTTTGGATTGCTAATTTTAGGAATGACATGAGGTTCTTTGCTACAACTTTCTTCGTCGCAGGAAGTGCCAGAGGAATCGTCTGATGAGGCTCTACTAACTGCATAACTGATCTGTTGATACAGTTCCCATTCCTCCCATCTGCCTTTAAAAGAAGCAACTGTAAATGGATGGCTTTTCTCACCATACCTAAGTAGGAAAAGAAATTTAAGTACTGATTAGGGATTCAACTTCCTACAAGTTTTTTAATTGCATTTTAGGTTTTGGGGTACACGTGAAGGACATGCAAGATTGTTGCATAGGTACACACATGGCAGTGTGATTTGCTGCCTTCTTCCCCATCACCTATATCTGGCATTTCCCCCCATGCTCTCTCTCCCCAGCTCCCCACCCCCTGCTGTCCCTCCCCTATTCCCCCGCCCCACAGACCCCAGTGTGTGATGCTCCCCTCCCTGTGTTGATGGGTTCTCATTGTTCAACACCCACCTATATGCTAACTTATTTTAAAAGAAATTGCCTTTAAAAATTGAAGGACATTATGATCTTCACCTACTACACTGTTATAAATGAGGATATTCTATAAGAGCTATTTTGGTTAATTGCTCAGAAAAAACCCGACTAGTTTATTCTGATTCAGTTAATGAATTGTCCCATAGTAGATAACTCTTCTTCCTTTCTGATATTGCCTATAAAACTTATCTGCTATCAACCTATGGTATGTAATAGATACTGTTACCAATCTATAGTTTGTAACACAGTGCAGTGATTAAAGCCAGATTTCAAATATTTTGCAAAATCATTGTGCTTTCCACTTCACCCACTTTGAATAGAAGTCTGCATTTTCTAACAGAAGTTTGCATCTAAAATCTTAACCAAGAAGTGTCCCTGCTGCTAACTCAAGGTTTTGGGGCATCATCTTTTATGAAGGTATATGAGGTTGTCTAACCTAAGGTTTCCAGGAATCACACAGCACACAAACTATGAGATTACTCACCTACAGCACACTTCAAAGGGATCTACCCATATGGTCAGCTCCTTTGGAAGTCCCAGGTGAAAAAAATCCACCTTACTCTCTGCACACGCCCTTTCTAGAATGGGATCTTTATTCTGATTGTTGTTTATCCTGATGCACCTTTAAAAAAAAAAAAAAGTGAAGGGAGATGAAGATGTTATAACAGGTACTTCAGCAGGAAAATTACATTGTGCACACACTGTTGCAATACACATAGCTCCCACCTCACCCCCACCTTCCCCTCAGCCTCCCCTACCCTCCACTCTTACAAGTAAGACATCATCAACTTTGATACAGTGGCTCAGAATGTACGCTACATCACCTAGTCACCAAATTCGTTTACCAGATATTCACAGCTTATTTTTCATGGCAAACACAAATTAGAAATTGCTTAATCTACCTCACATAGGGTGTTTATTCTGTTGTTTCCATTCACACTGTCATCTACTATGTCTCCTCCTTTCGAGTCCACATTCAAACACATGTGATGTCGAGCCTATAAAATTTTCATTATTATATACAGAAAACAAGATCACTCCATTCTCCTAGGAGTTGGCTGTTGCTTGGTGATTACTTCCCTTTTCATCCCATGTGCTAGCTCTCACCTGAAGGCTTGCCCTTTAGAAGGGCAATCAGAGTGCCAGTGACTTCTGTATGTTTCAAACAAGATCGTCATCAGCTTTTCTGCAAAGTCTTCTATTTGCTTTTTACTTAGTTTATCATGTTTTTTCACCAATCTTGTGACAAAGAAAACTGTTGTTGCAATTTCATCCCTCATGATTCAAGAAAAATAGATAAGGTCTGAAATCATTTAAAGGGAGCAAGAAGAAATAGAAACAAATGTTTAACTCATTCTCAATATTTAATTGCCATTTAGAAATTTTACATGCCTTAAAACAGATAATTTGCTAGAAAGAAGTCTTTAGTAAACTAGATAAGTACACGAACACTATAAATCAACATAACAGCCAAGAACAGCAATTCCTCAAACAGCCCATGTTTAAAGGTTTTCAAAGAAAAAAAAGTATTTTTAAAATTTTAAAGCACTTAGTAATAAATGAAACATCACTGCGCAACTTAAAAATATCCGGATATGGGAGAGTAATTACCTTAAGCATCACTTTTTAAAGATATATTAACAAAGAGCAAAATATTTCAGGAGAGAGTAATTCCAAAATGTGGCTCACAAGTTGCATGCTCTAAGAATAAACAAACACATTACTTGCCAACAAAAGCTCTTTAGCCCTCGAGAAAAGTGAGAGAAAACCAACTGCAGGATCTCCTTTGTTTCCAACTCTCACCCACACCTGCTTACAAGTTTGAGGCTGAAGTTTATATAAGCCTGGGCCCTAAAGGCTGATGGGTGCTTCACCTTGCACAGGTGCTGCCTATTGAGATAATCATACAGCTTTTTCATATACCAATCTGGTCTCCATCTGACTGCTTCTTGGCATAAGTGGAGTTGGTTCTCTGTTTAAAGTGTTTAAAAATTTCAACTGGATCTATATTTTCTATTTTGCTGTTATAATCTTATCTTTTATAACACAGAGTGAGAATCAAGCATTCTTCTTCCGTATCCTTATATCATACATTCCAATAATGTCATCTCTAACTTAGCTGTTAACATATTAAAGAATTCTGCCTTTGATTTCTTACAAAACGTGAGGACCACTTTGAGCAGTCATTATGTTAACGACACATTTTTTACTAAAGTGTTTACTTGTAGGATAAGAGGAAGAGATCTGAGTTTAACCTCACCAGTTCTCAAAGGGTGGGTCTGTGACCATGTGATCTGGACTCATCATATTGCTTGTTAAAAATTCAGATTCTTGGCTGGGCATGGTGGCTCATGCCTGTAATCCCAGCACTTTGGGAAGCTGACATGAGCAGATCACCTGAGGCCAGGAGTTTGAGACCATTCTGGCCAATATGGTGAAACCCCGTCTTTACTAAAAATACAAAAATTAGCCAGGCATCGTGATGGGTGCCTGTAATCCCAGCTACTCAGGAGGCTGAGGCAGGAGAATTGCTTGAACCCAGGAGGCGGAGGTTGCAGTGAGCTGAGATCACACCACTGCACTCCAGACTGGGTGACTGAGTAAGACTCCGTCTCAAAAAAAAATTTTTTTTTTAATTTTCAAATTCAGATTCTTGGACCTTATTTCAGATCTGCTGAAGCAACTCTTCTCAAGGTAAGGGCTGGCAATCAGTAGTTACCAAGTTCCCCCAGGTGATTCTGATACCCACTAAGCATTAAGAACCACCACACCTGATATACCTAAGTCTTTAATGCTCATAATTGGTGATCATTCAGTTTCTTCATTAGTGAAAAAGATTCCACTGTCTTACAAAGAAGTCCATTTCATTTCTAAAAAGCTCCAAACAACAGCCAGCACTTCCTATCTATGTGGAGCCTAATCTACCTCTGATTTTTCTACACGTACAGCCTAGTTTCCTTCTGGAACTACACCAGTTGTGTCTAATGTTCCACCACTTGATGACATTTCAAATACTAGCTACTCAGCCTCCCTCAGCCTTCTCTTTGTGGAGCCTAAATAGTCTCAGCTTTTTAATAGTTCCTCCTATAGACTCAGCTCACCATGCTGGGTACTCACATCACAGTGAGTGTCAGGTGTGTGAGTAATCCTCTTTTTCCAGTGTGAGGCTCAGACTTGCACACGATGCTCCAGGTGTGCTCCACCCCTAGAGACTGTCACGGGACTGTTGCTTCCCTCCCTCTGAATACTGTATTCCAGAACACAGCCTCAGGTGGTTTTTACCTTGTTGGCAGTAGCACCATACCACTGACTCACATTGAACTTGCAAGCACTCTTTTTCACTAATGCTATCATGTTGTCCTATCTTTCCCTTCCTGCACAATACAACGTTTAAAAATGTGGGCATTAAGAACGGATACACCTGGGTGTGAACTGCAACTTTAGGGCTCACCATCTGTGTAACCTTGGACAACTTAATTTTCTGCCTGTGAAATGGGAGGTACAATAGCAACCTCATTAGGTTGTTATTAAGATTATAATAGATAACATTAAAGCACTTGCTCTTGAGCTGGGCAGAGGGCCTCATGCCTATAATGCAAACACTTTGGGCCCAGGCAAAAGGATCACTTGAGGTCAGGAGTTTGAGGCCAGCCTGGGCAACTTAGTAAGACCCCTGTCTCTATAAAAATTTTAAAAGTCAGCTTGGTGTTGCATGTACCTGTAGCCTTCTAAAAAGGCTGAGGTAGAAAGATCACTTAAGACCAGGAGTTCGAGGCTACAGTAAGCTATGAGCAATGATTGTGTCACTGCACTGCAGCCTGGGCAAGAGAGCAAAGACCCTGTCTCAAAAAAAAATTTTAAAACCTTTCACCAGTGATGAACTGAGATGAAATACATATATTAGGTAGTGTGCTGGCTATTGTAATATCTTTGATGCTTGAGAAGTATATGAAATGGTAAATATAAGGATTATCAAAGTTGGTTAAGGATAGAAAAATGGATAGAAGGAATTAGTCCTAGTATTCTAGTACAGTAGAGAAATTATAGGTAACAACTGTTGTATATTTCAAAATAGCTAGAAAATTTGTAATGTTCTTAAAATACAAAGATAAACATTTGAGGTAATGGATATCCCAATTACCTAATTTGATCATTATACATTGTCTACAAGTATTAAAATATTATGTGTAACCCCAAAATACATTATATATCAATTTCTTTAAATTGTTTAAAAGAACTATGAAATTGGATGGCTGAGTATCTTGATATCTAAGAATATGATTTAAGACTTAAGATTAATTCAATTTAGTAAATATCTAAACGTCTTCTATGTACCCAGAACATATTAAAATAAACAAAAGTGAAAGTAGGGCCTTAATAATCTTCCAATTCCATAGTTCTTGTTTGTTTCAACTGTCCATGATGTAGTTCTCATTCCTCTTCCTCAGTGGCTGGGGTACACAAAATGTTACACTTTGGAATCACATGAAGATCTTTTAAAAATACCAATGTCTGCCTCCTATCCCTTACCCCAGACATTCTTTTTTTTTTTTTTCAATAGAGATGGGGTCTCCCTCTGTTGCCCAGGCTCGTCTTGAACTCCTGGGCTCAAGAAGCCCTCCTGCCTTGGCCTCTCAAAATGCCAGGATTATAGGTGTGAGCCACCATGCCTGGCAAGACTTAATTGGTATGTAGTGCAACCTGCACGTCAGGATTTTAAAAAGTTTCCCAAGTGATTCCAATGTGAAGCAAAAATGGAAATCATTAGATACATACCACCTTAGTTGTGAAGATTTTAAGCTTATTTTACACTTTTGATTGCTTAATAATGCCTTAAGTTTAACAGATTATTAGGATAAATTTGCATCATTTATTCTCACATTTTCCTAGCCATTTGCTGGGGTAACTTTTGCAAAGATTATTTTTTAAAATTTAGGTTAGAAGAGACAAAGCTGAAAATTAGGGCAACTCCCTGTATGCTGCTGAAATTTTGCTTCTGAGCTAAAGGCAACAGATGCATTAGCAAACACAATTTTTTTCTTTTCAAATGGTTAGTTTGCATTTACAATAATAGAATGGTGCCAGGTGTTTAATAATTCTTTCATTACTTCATATTCCCGATGACAAACAGTTCCCTTGCACTTTGAGTTGGTGAAGTACATTAACTGATGAGGTTTTGAACCCTCTCCTAGCATCATTTTCTACAACAGGCCCAGGCAGGCCTTGGAATTTATGAATAGAACGGTAGAATAACGATGTACTTAGATTTCAGGAAAGAACAATCAAATAAAAAGTAAACATCATGCAAGATTTCCTTCAGTTACTTGCTTATGACTTGAAACACCTTATTTAAATCACTTCCTTTACATTAATGACAACTACACCTTCTGTTTTAATTAACACTCAGTGACTATTTACTGACCACCTACTACACAGACACTAAATATTAGTGGGGCTGGGGGTAAAAACAAAATTCAACTTTCCTTTCAAGAGGCTTATCATCTAGAGAAGGAAATCAAATATATACACAAGGGACTACTTGGATATAAAGTTTGGGAAATGAAATACTCAAAATTTACTTCAAAATACTAGTGACCAAGAGATGAATGTTATCATTAAAAGAATGAAGTTCAGTGGAAGAGTCAGCATAAAACAAACGGTGATTCATTCAGATTGAGGTATACTAAGCTTTCAATGGTAATTAAATGCCCAAGTAGTAATGTCCACTGACAAGATGTTAGAATTTAGGAGAAAGACCAACCTGGGCTGGCCTAAGCCAATCCCCAGCTAAGTAGAAGTAAAAGTGACTGCTGAAATTTGAACAACTCTCCCACTGTGCTTGTGTAAGGTCTAAAATTCTCATTATAAGACATTTGTTCCCTTGCTTAAAACTTTGTCTTTCAAGGATTTCTTTTTGAAAATGTCTGATGAGCTATCTGTAGTAGAGCAACAGGATGGTGTTCTGTTTGGGTGAGGGGAGTATTTCTGGGTAAAGAACCACACAAAACAAGAAATAGGAGGTTCTGGCCATTTGGAATGAGGATAAAGAACAGAAAGGAGGTGAAGCAGCAAAGACATGTTTTACTTCCCATTATGTCTGTAACAGAGAATCAAATGGTATAAAACATGAATATGGCTGAAATGACCTTGTACAAGTAACAATTTCTAGAATTGCATTCTTCATTTTAAACTGAGGAAATTCAACTTGATAGCTAAAGAATAGTCAAGCCCCAAAGTTCATCAATGAAGGTGAAAGTCAAAAATCTGGTTCCACATTTGTCTTCTGTGTTTTAGCAAAAT